GGTAGATTCCAGACTCAAAGCCTGAGAGGATGGCGCTGGTCTACCAGGGTTTTCCTTAACTCAGGACTGTTGACACTTGGGACCCTGTGATTCTTTGTGGTGGAGGCTGTCTTGGAGGCTTTGCAGGAAGCTGAGCAGCGTCCCTGGCCTCTACCCACTAGATGCCAGTAGCACCCTCCAAGTTGTGACAACCACCCTTGCACACATTGCTGTGTGTCCCCAGGGAGCACAATTGCCCCCTGTTGAGAACGCTGCATTACACATATTGCCTCTCAAATGCAAGTGTTTATTTCCTAAAGTCTAGACAATAGAGGTACTTCCATTTATTTCCGATAACTTTGTGCCTCAAAAATCAGATTCGGGGTCAGATAGAGGCATGTTGGAAGCCCAGCTATGCCGCCTGCCAGCTGTGTGATTTGAGGTCAGTGGGCCTCTCTGATCTCGGCTTCCTGTTCGTGAGCAGGAGATGACGGCCTCCCCTGCACAGGGCTGTGGAGATTCAGTGAGATGCCCCCGGTGCGCCGTCCATAGTGACACTGGAGAATGTGATTCTCTTCCTCCTAATGTAGTTCTGCCTGGTCTTGTGCTTCAGCAGCTGACTGTGGTTGGCGTTTGGCTGACAGCTCTGTTGTGTAGTTGATTGCACCCCTGAAGCCATTTCCAAAGTCACCAGAGAATATTCCAGTCTCCACACTTGCCTTGGAACAAATGCCGCCTGAAGGTCAGCCCTTTAGAGCCAATGTTGGTTGGCCTCCAGTTTTGTCAAAAACAAATAAAAATAGCCACCAGCTTGGAGACGGGACTTTAAGCCACTCCGGCAGCATTGTGTGTGTTCACCCGCCTACTTTGCTGTGATAGAGGGTCTGTGTCACCAGATTTGAAATCAAAATGGCGGCTGTGAATGGTTTTTTTACCGAGGCCACACAATGGTGTGTTTCTAACGATTGAGGTTTTCTTTGTTGCATTTTAGGTCAAATTGCTCGAGTTTTAAGGTTTGTGTGTATGCAAATGGATGTCTCAGACTTTCTGAAGCCAAGGAATCAAGCCAGCCAGCCGGGAAGGCCATGGACAGAGTAGGGACAGTGAATGGATGGGGAGCTGGCCTGGGCAGAGGGGTGGCCTGATGCCTCCTGGTGAGGTTGGGAGATCAGCTGCCCCTGATCCTGTTGGCCTCATTGCACTGATATAATAATATAGGGTATACTGTGTGTCAGATGCCATCTTTTACTTTTTGTGTATTAATATATTTAAATTCTCATTTTAAAGTTAAGGAAACCGAGTGCCTTACCCAGTGGACACTGGGACAGTCATGGCTTTCAGCATCCCTATTATAAAATTAATAGCTTTTTTCTTATTGAAAATAATACATCTTTGCAGAAAGTTTAACAAATATAGGCAAAAAAAGAAAAAAGAAAAGAAAAAAGAAAAGAGAAACCACCCATAATTCAGACACCCTATGATAACTGCTGTTAACATTTTGGTGTCTATTTTTCTAGATCAGGGGTCTGCAAATTATGGCCCTCAGGCCAAATCTGCCTGTTTTTGTAAAGAAATAAAGTTCTTAAAAATGAATTGAACTACCTCCTAGTTAATGACATATAATTTTGCTAAAAGTACTGTTCACATTTGCAAGATGATATTGACCTTCCAAAGTACTTTTCTAAGTCCTATTTCGTTGCAGGAGTTTAATCCTGGGAGGCTTTAGAAGAAAAGCAGCTTGCAATTTTTGGGAGGCAGTGAGGCTGTCTCAAGGGCCGGAAATCATTTGTTCATTTATTTGTTTATTCATTCAGGCACCACGCATAATAAGCCCAGTAGAAGGGAGATGGTCTTGATTGAAAGTACATATCTTGCTGTAGTATATAAACAGGATGGGTTTCTGTCATCCATTTCTCTTTTTGTTCCCCTCGCCTAGAAGCCTGTTTCTTCATCTCTGACAGGCAGAGTCTTTGATGGCTCACAGTGGGGATCAGGGGCAGACTGCAGGTTTGTCGAAGACATTTTCCCACGGGAAACTGTCCTGGACACAGAGACTTTATGTAGCAGAAAACGCCCACACCCAACATCTCCTGGTGTAATGGAAAGAGCCCCAGGCTGGCCGACTAGCTGAGTGACCCCATTTGCCTGGCTGAGCCTCAGTTTGTGCATCTGTAAAATGGAATTTCTCTCCCCTGATTGTTTATTTGCATCCATCTTTGCTGTTCCTTGCTCGGATACTAGACGGAGGCATGCTGGCAGTGTTCTTTATGATCATTTTTTTTTAAACTTTATTGGGGAACAATGTGTTTTTGCGGGGAACAATGTGTTTTTTCCAGGGCCCATCAGCTCCAAGTCAAGTTGTTGTCCTTCAATCTTAGTTGTGGAGGGCGCAGCTCAGCTCCAAGTCCAGTCGCCGTTTTCAATCTAGTTGCAGGGTGGGGGGGGGCGCAGCCCACCATCCCACGTGGGAGTCAAACCAACAACCTGGTTGTTAAGAGCACACTTTCTAACTAACTGAGCCATCTCGCTGCCCCCCTTTATGATCAGTTTTTAACCCAAAGTTTTGGCCCCCTGAACCCACTCAGCCCCGGCCTCACAAGATACCTGATGACACAGTCTCTGGATACTCCTCTGGGTGGTTAACCTCTAACCTAATTCCTGGCAGGCGGCTCCCAGCTTGAATACCCCATGGCAGGAGTAAGAGAGTGAACTGACTGTGTCTGCCTGATTCTGCCCCTGTCAAAATCCCACCAAATGACAGCAAAGAGGTTTTAAAAAAGAGGGGGGGGGGTAGAAACCCATCAAACCTGAAGAAACAGAAGGGGAGATTAGCAACCTTTTGGAAGCTGGAAAGCAGATGATCAAGCGGTAACTGGTTTAGTAGAACCAAGTGGGCTGAGTGGTAAAGGGGCAGTGAGGGAAGCTGAAAAATTACTGGATGCTGATAGGCACAGGGACTGGCAGCATTGGTGCCTCGGCAACGGCGGTGAAGTGGGTACCAAAATGAGGAAGATTGGGTGAAAGACTCCCAGAGCCCCTTGCTTGCTCTGTGTGGCTGGAGACTGCTCACATCCACCCCAACAGAAGGCAAGAGGTTTGCCCTCTGGAGAGTGAAAGGTGGAGGGTCTTGGGACTGGGGACTGATGGGTATGGTGGAGCATGTGGGGCTTATATTCCTAACAGGAGGACAGGGGTCTGTGTAGGTGCTGAATCTTGAAACCTGCCCTGCCCCCCAGACCTGTCCCAAGCCCTTCTTCCCCGCCCAGCCTCCTGGCCAACCTTTCTTCCCAGCAGAAGACCCAGAAACTTCTCCCTGGGGAATTGGACCAGTGAGGGAGGAAGACTCTAAAGACATGTGGGGTTCCTCAAAACACGGGGTTCCTCAAAACACTGCCCTCCCAGGTTGCCCTGTGTTGAGCTCAGGGTCCACTGGCCTTATCACATTCTCAGTACTGCTCACCAGCCCTTTAGTTCCTGCTTTTGGTCATGACGAAGTAGCCGAGGCTTACCAAGCATGTGGGTACAGTTTCTAATATGGAAGGCAGGCCCCAAACAAATAAAGGGACACAGGAAACTTGGAAGAAACAGAAATCATACTAGGTGACAAGAACTTGAAAAAGCTATCGTTAATACTCTCATCAAGGTTGGCGAGGATTTACATACATAGGAAACAGGATGCATAAAAAGGAAGATTTGCAGACCAAAAACAGGCACTTCGATGTTAAAAACATGATAGCAGACGTGAAAAACCCCACTTAATGAAGTTAGAAGAGAAGGCTAAAGGAATCACCCAGAAAGTAAAAAGGATAGAAAATAGGACAGGGAGGGCCAGCCGAGTGGTGCGTTGGTTAGGAGTTGGCTTGGGACGCCAGCTCTGAGCAACAAGGGCCCTGGTTCAGATCCCACATGAGGGCCAGTNAAAAAAAATTTGTCTTAGAAATCATTCCGTGTGAACACTTACTTTGACATCATCTTTCTTTAAGAATCTCTAGGTGACATCCCTATAAGCCAGTGCCTTTCAGCCATTAAAAGGATGGAATCTGTCTGTAGGTTCCACCATAGAGAACTGGCTGAGTAAGTGCAGTAAGCAGGAGGAAAGGAAAGCTACAGAGAAGTGTGCTTGGGTTCTATTTTTGTTTAAAGAAACATTCTTTGTGCGTGTTCCTGAAACAGTAGCAGAAAGCCAGTTTGTGCACCAAGCTCTTAACAGCATATTAACTCTTAACCAGTTAACTCTCAAGTACATTAACTCTTTTTAAAAATTATGTATGTATTGTTTTCAGCTACAGTGGACATTCAGTATTACTTTATAATAGTTTCAGATATATGGCGTAGTGGTTAAACATTTATATAATTTATAAAGTGATCCTTCAAAGCCTCCCCCCTCCAATTAGTCTAGTACCCACCTGGCATTATACATAGTTATTGCAACATTATTGACTATATTCCCTATGCTGTACTTTACATCCCCATGACTATTTTGTAGCTGCCAGTTTGTCCTTCTTAATCCCTTCACCTTTTTCAACTACATTAACTCTTTTTTTTTTTTTTTAAATGGGGAACAGCCATGGTGATTGGTTACACATTGCTTTCATGCTACAATGGCATAGTTGACTCCTTTAGGGAGGGCGCAGCTCACAGTGGCCCATGCAGGGATCGAACCATCAACCTTGGTGTTATCAGCACCACGCTCTAACCAACTCAGCTAACCAGTCACCCCTCAACTACATTAACTCTTTTAACAGCAGCTTTAACTCTTAACCAGTTCATACCCAACTCTTAACAGCAAATTATCTTTAGGAGATGAGATTGGGGGGAAATTTCACTTTCTATGTTATGGATTTTCACTGTTGGATTTAAAACAACAACAAGAATGTGATGTCTCTGATAGAGGTAAAATGAAATGAAAAGATCGTGGATGTCACCGGCATTGCTTCTCTTTTCGGAGAACTTCCTGTTCCAGCCCTGGTCCCCAGGGAAGAGCCAGTTACTCAGCCTCCCCTCCCCTGCCCCATCCCCAGGTGCAGAGCGAGATCCCGGGCTCCCCGATCTTTCTCATGAAGCTGGCCCAGCACGCCCGTCACCTGGAGGTCCAGATCCTCGCCGACCGGTATGGGAACGCCGTGTCCCTGTTTGGGCGAGACTGCTCCATCCAACGGCGGCATCAGAAAATCATCGAGGAGGCACCTGCCACCATCGCCACACCGGCTGTGTTCGAGTTCATGGAGCAGGTGGGCCCTGCAGAGCTGGGTGGGGGGCAACTGCAGGGGTTGCTGTGTCAGCTCAGAGCGAGCAAGAGCTCCCTAATGGTCCATGTCACCAAAGTGAGGTGGGTGCCCAAGGAGAGACTGGGGGCCCATCATGGAGGTGACTTCAGCCTGGCATGGATTTATTAGAACATGCTCTATGTGGTCCCAAAGTAATTGACACATAGCAAGTCCTCCATCTACATTTGATGGGGAAACTAATAAGCCACGATCAAAACTACCCAAGAAAACCACTGGAAACCCCTCGGTCTCTGTTTTTTGCAGTGTGCTGTCCTACTGGCCAAGACAGTAGGCTATGTGAGTGCAGGGACGGTCGAATATCTCTACAGCCAGGATGGCAGCTTCCACTTCTTGGAGCTGAATCCCCGCCTGCAGGTGGAACACCCCTGCACAGAGATGATCGCTGATGTCAACCTGCCGGCCGCCCAGCTTCAGGTGAGGAAACGGGCTCTGAGTCCTCGGTGTTCGTCTACCCAGGGTGGGGTCCTCTGTTCTCCTCAGGTTATACCTTTCCGCCCCTGTTGGCTGGCTGGCTGGCTCTGGGGAATGACTTGTGATATATGAGTAGCACCGAGAACCACACAGGCAAAGAACCTTCTGTGATTGTGGTTTTTCACCTTTGCCGTATAACCCTTTGAGAAACTAGAAAAAGCCACAGGCCTTCTCCCTGGCACAATATATTTTATTCAATTGCAGGATATTTGTGGATCCCTGATACCCATTCATAGACCCAGAGAAGTGTATATCAACATTTTTTTTATTGCTTCCCCTAAGGAGCCTTTTTAGACAATTTATCCCCAAATTTCTCCCCCATAACATTTTACTATCATAGATATACTCTATATCTCTTTGGGTACTGTAGATATAGCTGTGCTTTATGCATACAAAGAGTTATATTTTTTTCATCCCCAAGTGGAAATATTTCCTCTCATTGGGGGCAGTTTCAGCCCCTTTGAGAACTTGTGACGCAGAAGTAGGAACTCTTGCATTCATTGGAACTCATTTCTTTTTTTATTAATGTCGTCTTCCTCCTCTCTTCCTTCATCTTCCAGAATTTTGATTGTTTTTTATTTTTTCTATTTGAAAAATTTCAGAAAAGTTGCAAGGATAATATTGGGTTGTCAGAAAAGTCATGACATATTTTGTCTGTGTTTTTCCAAGGTCATTTATNAAGAGGTCTGTTTGTCCTTTGCCTTCCAGGTGGCAGAAAAAATTGGTTTTCCGTTGATGATCAAAGCTTCTGAAGGCGGTGGAGGGAAAGGAATCCGGAAAGCAGAGAGTGCCGAGGACTTCCCAATCCTTTTTAGACAGGTGAGCTGTTCTTGCTGCCTATTTTTCCATATGTCTTTGGGGATTGTCTTTATCCCATTCCTGGCCACCAGATTATTTCCATTAGCGTTATTCTGTCACGATTGAGAGGACATTTTTGGGAGCTGGAATATTGCTGTGCTGTGTTTTAAAGCAAATGTGTACATTTCACTGGCAGGAGTCCATGGTTTGCATTGATTGGTGTACCATTTCCTTAGATGTTCAAGTCTATGAATCAGGGTGTCTATAAATGGTTTCAGAGATATAGGGTCAGAATATCTGTTTGTGACTATGTTTGTCTCTTGAGAGATGGGATATTTTGTACATTTTGGAGGCCTTGGTATTTTTAACACTTCTGGTTGATCCTTTTTCATTGTAGGAAATAGACAGCCGACCCTTTGAACAACAAGGGTTTGAACTGCGTGGGTTCACTTATTCGTGGATTTTTTTTTTTCCATAAATAGGTTTTTTAAAATTTTGGAGATATGCAACAATTTGAAAAAACTTGTGGATGAACTGTATAACCTAGAAATACCGAAAAAAATTAAGAAAATGTATGTCATGGATGCATAAAATATATGTAAATACTAGCCTATGTTATCATTTACTACTAAAATATACACATATATGTGTTAATCGACTGTTTACGTTGTCAGTAAGGCTCCTAATCATCAGGAAGCTATTAGTAGTTAAGTTTTGGGGGAGTTAAAAGTTATAGGCAGACTCTCGGCCTGTAATTCCCGAGTTGTTCAAGGGTCCACTGTAATTGTATATTTACTTATTTGTAGCTGGTTTTCCACTTTTAAAACATTACGCCTATTATTGGCAGTGTTTAAAAAAATTTATGCTGATAATCTTCTCATTCTTAACCCAACTATTTTAATATTTCTAAGTTTTCTTCTATACTTTGTTCANGAGCTGTTGTTCACCATCTTAGCTGTAGAGGGTGCAGTGTCACTGGCCCGCATGTGGGGTCCAAACCGGGGCCCTGCTGCTCAGAGCTGGCATCCCAAGCCAGCTGTTAACCAATGCGCCACTCAGCTGGCCCTACGCTTTTATTACCCTGATGAAAAACAAACATGGAATTGCTTAATGGCAAAACAACATGAAGATAAACTTTAAATAGGAATAAAAATACCCGCCTCTAATCCCACTATCCTGATAGCTTGCTTCTTTTTTGTTCCCTTCCAGGCCTGATGCAGACACACACATATGTTTGCATAATTAAAGTCATACTCGGTTTTCTTCTAATTATCACACACTTTTGTCCGTTGTTGCCCAAAATTGTCACGCTTATCCTTTCAATGGCCGCATACAGCCGTGCCTTGCAGATTTCCTGCAGTCAACTTCAGTCTGTCTGCTTGTTCTTTCCTTTTCTCTCCCATTTAAACTCCAGAGTACATCAAGATAGCGGATCAGTACGTCCCTGTGCCAGGAGGGCCCAACAACAACAATTATGCCAACGTGGAGCTGATCGTGGACATTGCCAAGAGAATTCCTGTGCAGGTAAGTTGGTTGGGGTACCCCAGTCTGCCCACGGGGGATGATGCCCTGATCTCTGGAGCACCTTGATTCCACCATTCAGAAGGGGCAGAGGAGCCGTGTCCTGCAAGACCCCCAAATCCAGGACTGATATGACCCGGCAAAGAAAGAGCTTTCAGTGTGTGATGGGGAGGCGGGTTTCTTGAAGGAAGATCTTCGTTCACGCCTCTCTGTGTTCGCAGGCGGTGTGGGCTGGCTGGGGCCATGCTTCCGAAAACCCCAAACTTCCGGAGCTCCTGTGCAAGCACGACATTGCTTTCTTAGGTAGAGTGTGTCTCCATCAGATTCGTGGGAATTGGGGCGTTGATGGGACACTCTGCTGGGTCAGATTCTCTTTCTAATGCATCCCTGTAAGGCAGGGGGTCAGTTTGATAGCCCCACCTCACAATTTAATTGTTAGGAGCAAGCGAGTCCAGGGGTGGGAGGGCACCTGGGTAGGTTGGCCAACCTGGGGACATGGGAGCTATTACTGTGGTTACCACAATGGAATGATGCTGGGGCAAGCGGACCTCTGTTAATGTTCCTGTTGGTACTGAGGAACCATGTTCAGGTTTATCGCTAGGTTTGGAGGTCACGTTTCTGGTAAGGCCACAGTTTTGCTAGGGCTGTTCTTATGTCTTTGGAATGCCCTAACCCCTTTAGACCAGAACCCTTCAATTCTACTACTTATTAGATAAAATGATACTTATTATCTATGACATCTGTTTATTTCAGGATTTGAACTTGGATTTGTATACGTTGTGCAGTTATATTATCCGACATCCTTGCATGGTTTAGGGGAATCATTTGCCAGCCACA